GTCACAACTTGTGCTATTATCTGCGACTCGTGACTTACACATTACAAGGAAAAAATAGCAAAGTTTGTAAAATAAAAGTTTAATTTTTTTGTTTAAATGTGTATATGCTGATAACAGAAGATTACGGCAATAAGCGCAGGAAACTTATGCGCATTCTTATGTGAGTACTTGCATACATAAATACGAAAAGCAATATTGACACAAACAAATAGTAGCAAAAGTGAAGCCAAGCAAAGTGATATACTCAAACATATATACATCGTAAATAAAAGTTCACACAAACACACAGATCTCTCTGTATGTGAGTTGCGTAGAAGTCGCATGTATGAAGTTGAAAACAAAATTTTCTTAAGTTGAGGATAAGCAGTCAACTTAAAAATAGCATCAACATCGGAAAAAGTGCTTGGGCTTGCAGCGCAAAAATATAAAATTTGTGGAACTGGCAAACTTTTAATTACCATCGTTTTTTCATGATTTTATTGTCGTTGACAGAAATTGAGTTTTTTGCCCCGGAAACTTTGCTTCCATCTTATATGTGAAATAAATTGTGAATGTATAATGTACATATATGATAATAATAGTTTAAGAAGTTTACTTTGCTAAGCTTTCTTATGCCTTTTCATTATCTTTCTCTTCTTTTTCATCCCGTACGCGTTTATAGCTAAACTAAAAGTACGCGCCAAGCGAAACCAGGGCGTTCTGCACCTGATACATTCAAAGGAATAGAGGTTCTCTCTCCTCTTTCTCTGCTTTCACTGGCGGATTCTGCATCAGAGTTGAACTATTCTTATTCACTTGGACCGCATGACTCTGCACAGCCAAGTTTTTTGATCAGTTGTCGCTGTATTAGTCATACAGTTCATCGCTCCAACGGCTGTGGTGTTTGCCATTCAAAACCTTTCTCTCGAATACTTCCAAAACGCTGATTTTTCGGATGTTGACATTCCTCCGGTCCATATAGCAGGAAGCAAATAATGAATAGTAACTGCTAGAGTTTGTTTTTGGTATATCGAGAGATGACTTTACTTTGATATTGCCCCCTCAGTCCAAAACAGCACTAGTTGGTCCGTAGATAAACGATAAACAGTGACGCGGGAGTCAAGTCGGGAATGCAATGAGTATTTGTTTGCTGATAGGACATATATCGTTTTGTGTTCAGGTCGGAACTATTCGGATCGCTATTTTGTCAAGCTTGGCGCGCGGTTGGTAAGACCTATTATAGCAAGACCGTTTCTTTGCCTATTAAGCTCTGCAGGGGTTGTTATTTTCTCCAGCTTCAAATTGGAGAAGTCACACGATAAAGAGTCACAGCAGCTCGGATAGGTCCTTACTGATTCTGACAGTATATCTGGTGTTATCCAGCGTGAGTTTATTCACCCGTTTAAGCACCAAATTTAGACATAATGGCGTGTGGCAGCTCTTTACTGTATTCTAGAAGAATGGTTTAAACTCGAGGTAGAGATGATGTGTTTCGGTTCTCTTCTCACGAGTTTTTTTTTAAATATTTGACGTATGCTGAATATCTGGTCAATGTTGTATCTGTGACGTCTTATGCCACACTTATAAGGTCCAATAAGTTTGTTATGGTTTTAGTCTTGCACTAAGACCTTATAAGCGATATTGGGAGACTTTTCCATTGCTTATTGGCGCTGACCGCGGATCTCCTGGTTTATGGATTTGGCATGCTTTCGTCCCACTATATTCCCTAAAGCAGCTGATGCCTGCAGCTTATCAACTCCTCAACGCCATATTTGTATAGCCGCTTTGTTGTTCTTTGTACGGGCATTCGCTATACGAGCCTCATTATAGTAGGGCAATGGAGCGTATTTTTTGATTTTTCAACGGCCGCATACATTCACTTAAGTATCAGACCTCAGTTACTACTCTTCTCGTCTTTCGGCAGCTTGCTGATGTCGGCATCTATCGTTTGAACTTCGGCCGGTGTTGATATACAGTTTGAACTCCTTTTGTACTCCAGACATAAGCGATCGTACTTTGTATTCGACGGTATATTCTCATGTACTTCTATGAGGTTTAACAACTTCTCGATTTATGTAGCTCGTTTCACTTCATACAGAGTTAATTTGCTCTTTAGTGTAGTTTACGTAATGTTAAAGTCCTTGAACATAGTTGCGGTATCTCAAGGGGGAAAAATAAAATTTCAAAATTACCATTTTTACGCCAATGCCTCATGGAAGCTTATTCAGTCTTTCTTTTAAATTTATTTCTTAGAATTCACTAACGTAGTGAAAAATTTTTATATTATAATTATACTGTTTATCTGTAATTACTTGGCATTTCCTCTTCGGTACTTCACAGCTGTGTCTGTTACAGTTTTTGGCAACAACTCAAAATCTCATTTGTTGAATATCCGCATTCACTTTGGCAGTTTCTCAATTGTCATTGTGCTGCAGCTGTTGCACTATTTCACTACATTTCTTTTGCTCTCTCCTTCTCTCTTTTTTATAGATTTCCTTTGGCGCAACACTTCGTTTTGGTGCAAATTGCATTTTAATTTCACTTGGCCGTCTGCAATTCACTCAATCACTCTGTGACTGGTCTCAATTTGTACGTAAATAAATATTTATGGCTGAATATTCAATTTTATATAACTCGGTTTTTAACAAACAAAAATTAATTACATCATAAACATAATTATTTACATAAACATATTTTTCATGCTGCTTGAAAATCTTGGCTATGAAAAATTCTACTTTAGTGTGGAACAAATTATTAATATTCACTTAAAAATGGTAAAAACCGGGGAGAGACGGTTCGTAAACCAAAAATCTTGTCGGATTACAAACCAGAAATTGGTGAAAACATGAAGCAGTTTTGACAAGTTTGTGACGTGAAGATTGAAACACGTGCAAGTCGCTCAAGAACAACTGAGAATATTGCTGCTGCAGATCAAAGTGTTAAAGAAAATTAAAGTTGTCCATTTTATGCCATTCTTTGATATAGGGAAAACATCACAACATTATATATTGCGTAAAGACTTGCATCTCTACGCTTATAAAGTTTAGGTAACGCAAGAACTCAAGTCGCCCGATCATCATGAATGTCGTGCTTTTGCTGATTGAGTGCTTGAAATGCATGAAAATGATTCGGAATTTCAACGAAGAACCATCTTGACCGATGAAGCCAACTTCCACCTCGACAGACACGTCAATAAGCCAAACTCTCGCATCCAAGGCTAGGAAAACCAAATATTCATTATTGAAAAGCCTTTCCATTCTCAACTTGTAAGGCTTGGTGCGACTTATTGTTGGTCGGCGTCAGTGGACCTTATTTTTTCGAAAACCAGGCTATAGCAGCAGTAACGGTGAATGAATTGCGCTATCGAAAGTTGATTAATAATTTTTTATGACCAACAAAACGGCGCTACTTTGTTACCTCTGGAAGAGGTGATCTGAATTTGACACCAAGATCTTGAGATTTAACACCGTGCAATTATTTCATCGGACCAATGTCAATTAAAGACCGCAAAGATGGAATTTGTGAAGCTATCTTTAACAGACATCCCCGTGCGAGCAACATCCTAGAATTATAGAAAATTTATTTAAACAAAAAATTTGGTTGAATTTTCTAATTGCGCTCGCCCTTCGACAGGGAGTATCAACCCCTCCGAGTGTATTTCTGACATGAAATAAAAAAGCTTCTCATAAAAAAACCATCAGCCATTCGGATGCTGCTTAGTATGGGTTCTTTCTTTTTTTGGAAAAACATCAGGACGAAAAACCACAAACTGGAGAAGGAGCTCGGCGGACGCTTCAGCGGTTACAAAACGCCAATTATATATATATTGAGGGCATACTGCAGATACTTTGTGATTTGGTGATGGAGCATTTCATTAAAAGCATACGGTACTATAGGTGGCGAGTTCGTAGATATTGTGTTCTCTTTACATTGAAATTAACTACCGATAATTTATCACATAAAATAAAAAAAAAAGGTTTCAAAATAATGTCCCTTATTGGTTAACCCTGTATATTCGGTCAAGTAGAAGGTAGTTATATATTTTTGAAAGATTTATTTGCCATAGTTCGAGTTATCTGATTTAAGTAAAACGAACACCATTTTTCTAGGTATTTCTTTTCCATTTTGAAGTTGATGTCATTATGCCAATTAGCAAAATCAATTTTGACAGACCACTTCTTAAGCCATTTCTGCACCAACCGAATTTTATTTGTTATAGACAGGAAAAGATTTTGATCACTTGGTGAGGCATCCACACAATCAATCTCTTCGTACTTCATGAGAGTATCTATCGATGTGCTTGGTCTCGCGTTACCCTGATAGAACACAATCCCCCTTCTGTTGCCCCCTCCTGTTGCCAAACGCCCAGAAGAAACCGCGTTTGCTTCGTTCAGACCGTCGAATTTCTGACCGTACAGATCTAAATAAAAGGCTTAGCCATACCGGTGCAGCTTTTAGTGTTTGATCCTTTGCCAATCCTACCATACACACAATAAAATCATACTGGCCGTCAGTCCTGTCTGAGACCAGGTTTGTGCCAATTCACTGCACCTGTGACCTTTGACCGTTTTAGTTTGACATCACCTGCCACCATCCGCTTCAGATTTTATTACTATTCAGCAGCGGCTGGCAGATGGAAATTCGGTTAATGAAGTTTTTTATTGTTAACTCACGAGGCGCCAATACATCTAGCTTTTTTAGGGTTGTTCCAAACTGTTGTTTGTGCAATGTTTAGCTCCTGGGCAGCCAAACAGTCTTTAGTTTATCGACGTTTTTGCTAATTGGCCTGGCATAACGTGTTTAAAGAAATGGTGAAAACACAATTTTGCTTCACTTTTCTCAAGAATACTTGACATGAGTCTCGTTTTTATAAATTTCGGGGGAAAAATAAAGAAATAAAAAAGGTAATTAAGTTTATCATTTAATTCATTTGTTATTTTAGTTAATTTAAATATAGATTAATTATAAAAAAACATATACAAAAACTGTATAAAAATGTTAAAAAAAGGTAAAAAAAAATATTATATTTTTTTAAATTCCAACTTAAGCTTCTCGTTCAAATTCAACAAAAATGAGTCAACGCCACTGTTGTTACTATGTTGAGACTCAGCGCAGGTTTTAATGCTAAACTGTGTAATTATTGCGACAATAGCCGATTTCATTATCAACATGGCTATATCCTTACCTAAGAAATAAAAGTATAAAGGTAAAGTAAGTATGAAAAATTGAGAAAAAAAAATTATCAAGAGAAATATTGGTCCAAAGAATTAGAAACTCAAAACAAGAGATGGAAAAATATAAAAACTACTCAATCAACTTTTTTATCTTGTCAGGATTAAAAATAAATTAAAATTAAGAAGCGAAAAAGGAATAAAATTAAAGGAAATAAAACGCATTTATAAAAATGTAAATAATTTTTAAAAACTTAAAAATATGAATATTACCCAAACAACTTCTCGGCCCAGCGCCAAATGGTAAGAAAGCGCGACGCTCCATTAACTCCTTCGGCGCAACATTCTCATAACGCTCGGGTATGTACGAGTTTGGTTCGCAGAAGATAAGTGGATCGTGGTGAAATGAGTAAACCGGTACACAGACTAGAGTGCCCTCATCCACTTGCACCGACTTGCTTTTGGAGAATTGCACTACGTTAGCGCGGCTGCAAATGCGGCGACAATATTTTACGGTGGGACTTAAACGCAGAGTTTCTAGAAAAACACAACTCCTACATAAATATTAAAAAAAAATAGCTTCCCCATAAGAAAAACTACCAAAAATGCAGTGATCCAGATAGCACAGTGAGCTGAGAGTTTCAAAACTAAATTCCGCACAAACCTCATGCCTCAGAGTTTGCAATAACTCGTTGCGTAATTTAGCCTGAACACGTGTGTCTCTTGCGAGCTAAAAATATAGGTATACCTTTGCAGAGAAATTCATATTTATATTGTCTTCACACCTACATAGTACAGTGTATACGTCAATGCACTGCAAATATCCTCAAAACCATCCAACAGCATTGTCATGCAGTAACCCGTCAACGCTTCATCACTCATATGCCCCGTGTGTCGCCGTTCATACAAAAGGCTAAGTACATCAAGCAGGCCACTGGGATTGCGCAGTTCTCTGTGACACTCTAATGCATCGTTGGTGAATTGCACAAAATAGTTATCCACCGCCCTCGAGATCAAACGGAATGGCCAGAGCTCCCAAAAGAATGGCATTACAGCTGAGAGGAGCGAATAGTTGCGCAAACTACTCATCTGCTTGGTGGCACGTTCTGTCATTAGTAAAAACTCATTCTGCTTCTTCTTCGTATTTGTCAAAGTGCCAGCGTTAACTCCCCAAATTGATATGCATAATGCAGCAGCGGCAAAGCGCTTGACCAGCTGGTGGAGAAATTAAACAAATACAAAAGAGCTAAACAATAATATGTAAAAAGAAATAAATAAAAAAATGAATATGAAATAACAACAAATAATATAAAATATTATAATTGAAATCAAATCAAATCAAATAAAACGAGACATATATACATATTTATAGAATAAATAAAACTTAAAAAAATAATAATAAAATAAATAAAATAAAATAATGAATAAAAATAAAGCAATTATGCACATAAATAAGAAACTCTCATTTATGCTAATGCAAGCTTCTGAGAAATGATACTCACATCCACAGTCTCCACCACTTGGGGCTTGGCGCCAATACATTTTTGTAGCAAAAAGTCCTTTAGATGTCTACAACTGGCTTGGCACAAGTCATATGAGTGTTTTAGCTGAATAGTCAGACGCACAGAAAATTAATTACTTTTGACACTTTTCGTATTGGAGGCATCTCACTTCATTCACTTACCCGCGTTTGCGCCAAAGCGCCGCTTACAACAGCACGATTGCATTTCCAAATCTCACCTGTAGTCCACAGCGCACTGCATAAGGCTAATTTGTCTAATTTATTTGGATTACGTAGATGCATCCAACTACACGCCGCTGTCATCTCAAAAGCGCTAAAATTCGAGTCTAGTATCTCTTGAGCGAGTCGCAAATCGACAACCATAATTTGCGGCTGGCGTAGAAAATAGATACCTACCATGCGACAGCGATGTTTGTAGCGTCTGATGGGTGGATGTAAACCAAACAGGAATAAGTAAGTATGTATAAATTCAGCTATTTGTATACGTGTGTCGCCGTACCTGTATATCACATCGATTTCATAGAGTAGATTTCTGCTTCTTGTCAGAATACTTGGAAAGGAACCTAAAATTGTTAATGGCAACGCACTGCGTAGTCCCCTCTTTTGCCAATAATTAAAGTTCCATGTGAGATATATATATGTCGGTAAAAGTATGACATGCAACAGCAGGATGATCTGAAAAAAATATTCCAAAATCATTTTTAAAAGTTCTTGGAACATTTTTAAAATTTTTTCTTGTATTATTTTCTATTATATTTCTGAAGTTTTTGAAAATAAGTATTTTTGTAGAATGATTTTTCATAGAAAATGTCGTCGGAAATATTTTGATATTTTTATATTAGATTTTCGGTGTTGCTTTTTAGCACATTTTTATCAATGAAAAATATCGATATGTCAATACAGTTTCAAAGAAGCAGAAAAGTGAGAAGGAGAAGAATGTAGAGGGAGCGATGAATATCTCAGAACCTTTCATAAACTCTTAGTGCCGACATTATCCCCGCTTCTTATTATACAGCGGGAAAGGAATGATGAGTGCCTTACAGATTAAGGAGTTTGTTTATTGAGAGAGAATTTCACTTCTCAACTTGCGTCAGTCTGTTCTTGTTGGTATTAATGCTGGCCTAACAATAGGCGAAATTATCTACGACTTAAAGGTTCAAGGTCAACAGTGACATGGTTGCTAAGATTCGAGTCCGCTGCTTGCCTGTCTGTTCCCACGGAAATCGATGACAAGGTTGTGGGTGTTGATTTATTTCTTGCGATTCTACTCCGAGATTTGGGGCAAAGTGAGTATTTTACGCTCTATTGAAAATTGGAGCTCATGAATGCAACCAATGGTGTCGATAATTAAACAAAAATTTTTTTGTGGAATGAAAAATCTTTCCCTCGTAGAAAACATCGAGTGGTTGAGTGCTTATAGCATTAAGAGCCTTTAAATATTTGAACAGTGCAAAAACTGAAAAAAAAAACATTTGTAATAAATATATAATTCACTGTTTTACTGTAGATATTACTGTTAATCTTCTAACCTTTAGTGAGCTATCTAGTTGAGTAACGAAGTATTCAACCAAATCTGCCATTAACCTACTTATGTATATATTTCGAAGCTCAGTAGCACTCAATTGGATAGGATCTTCTACCCCCTATAGAAAACTTCTATCCAGTGATGAATCGTACGCTTCTCGCGTTTCTCATTTTAGAATAAAACGGATCAAATTCCATTTTATTATTATTAATTTTCTTCTTGTTTTTATCTATTGTAGCTTAGGTGATTTGCCTACTTTACTTTAACAGTAATAAAATGTCAATACAGTCATCGACTGATATTCGTTGCGTACGGTTGTGTCGACTGTGTACTGAGTGATCTTCTTTCGTTTCTCTTTTTCCTAATTCGTTCGCATAGTCCGCTAAATACTTTTCTACTTTCCTCGTGAAAAAAACAGACATTTATTGGTGATAATAAATAAAATAAACAATGCCTCCCAGGCGCCCCCCTCTTGAGGATAACAGGTTTGCCCTGCTATCTTCAAGTTCAAAACCAAAAAAGAAAAAAACTAAACATATTTTAATGGAAGAATTTCCCATTTTACCTACAGTGAAAAGAGACAACCCTAAATATTTGGTAGTTAGTGCTGTGAATACTTCTAAGCCCTTGAATAAATTCTCATGTTTTGCTGTACATAAAGCTCTTAAAAACATAAGCTCTGAAATTGTTAACATATCTGAACTGAGGGATGGTAGTTTTTTGCTATTCGTAAAAAACACTCATATTGCCGAAAAGTTCATATCAACAAAATCATTATTCGGAATTTGCGAAATAAAATGTGACTACCACAATAACCTTAATTATGTAAAGGGTACAGTTTACGCACCATGTCTAAACGAAGTACCAGATAAAGAAATCATTGAGAATTTGAAAGAACAGGGTGTCGTATCAATCTTTAAATTCCCTAAATATAATAATAATATACCAACTCCAAGTGGTGTAATTCTTCTTACTTTTGATATGTACCGTTTACCCGAAAAAATTGAAATATCATGGTATACTACTAAGGTAAGGCCGTATTACGATAATCCTATGAGATGTAAATCTTGTCAACTTCTCGGACACACGACCAAACGATGCAATACAAATGCCCCTGTTTGTGACGAGTGTGCACTCCCACCCCACTCTCCTTCGCCTTGTTCACGTAAATTTTGCGCAAATTGCTCAGGTACTCATCCAGCCTCCAGCAAGTCATGTCCCAAGTATATACAAATGAAGGAAATAATTACTATAAAAACAGACAACAAATGCTCTATGCGTGAAGCAATGCGAATGTACAAAAAGCAAATCCCCCCCACCTTTAAAGAATCTTCAACCTCTATTTCTTATGCTAACATAACAAAACAAAAAACTTACAATATTGAAGAAAACAACAACCTTAATAACACTGATCAAACTAGCTACAACAATAACAATTTATCAGACAAACAAACAAACGAAAATGGAAAAGAAAAAGGAAAAGAAGAAAACAACACCACAGTGCCTGTCCCCAACACAACAATGTCAGCATCAGTCGACGACTCATCTACACGTACAATGTTGTCCGCACTACTTTCTCACCTCACTTCCCCAGCATTAGATCCCTCCCAATTCACATCTCCTTCAACGGAGTCCCCAATGGTAGAGTAATTAATGCAAATTTTGCAATGGAATATGAACGGTCTATTTAATAATTACCCAGATTTAAATTTACTAATTAATGAATATTGTCCTGAAATTGTAGCAATACAAGAAACTCATATCCCCTTTAATAAGACTTTTTATCCTCCTAATAAATACTATGGTTACTTCCACAACAAAAGTCAAAATACTTCGTGCAAGCAAGGGATAGCTCTCTTTATTAAAAAAACAATTACCCACAAACGTATCCAAATCAGTTCAAACATCTCATGTTTAGCTCTCGAGATAGACATTGGGTTTAAGATTACAATTATAAACTGCTACATTCCTCCCCACCAAAATTTTTATGTTAGTTATATATCGAATATATTAAACAGTATCGACACCCCTATTCTAGTAGTAGGCGACTTTAATGCATGGAGTCCCTTATGGGGTTCCACAAATACAAACAGACGAGGTGAAATACTGGAAGACGCAATACTATTACATGACCTTATTGTACTTAGCGATGGTGGGCCAACACATTTTTCGACCCATGGAACATTCACTCATCCCGATCTTGTTCTAGCTTCAGCTATATTAGCCCCTAAACTCTCCTCTTATACCATCGATGATCTCCACAGCAGTGACCACTTTCCCATCATTACTTCGCTTTCTATCCCTAAATCCTATAACGTGAAACCTAGACCCAAATTCCTTACAGAAAAGGCAGATTGGCCAACCTTTTCATTTCTTTCCACATCCCTGTCTAATAAAAAATTAACGTCCCAGAATGTAAATGCCGAAACGTCTGCGATAAAATCATTTATTCTCTCTGCTGGGCATTTATCTATCCCTCAGTCTAGCACCAAAAAATTTTCAGCAAAACTGCCTTATTGGTCCAAGAACCTAAATGATCTACGAAACAACAAAAAGCATCTGTGGTCTAAATTTAAACAAAATATGACTGATACCAACCTAATAAGTTATAAAAAAGCCAACGCCGTATTTAGAAAGATGCTAAAATCAGCTAAACGTATATCGTTCGAAAAAATCACGGAGAATATAAGTCCGTCCTCGAGCCCCAAGAAAATATGGTCAGACATAAAATATCTGACATCCGGTATTCAACGATTTGGTATACACCATATACAGACAGTAGAAGGTCCAATTTACTCGCCTAAAGAAATCTCTGAAAAGTTTGGCCAAACATGGTCACGCCTATCAAATAATCAGAACTTCCATAAAAAATTTACCCTTAAAAAAGAAAATGTTTCAAACGAAAATTATGCCAACCCATACCCGCCCCCAAAAGCCTTAATAATTGACTCACCTATTACTGCTGTAGAATTTGATACCACAATTGCATCGCTTTCAGGAAAAACGCCTGGAGCTGATAGAATATCGTACCCCATTTTGAAATATATCCCACTTGTCCTTAAAAATAGACTTGTTAACCTGTATAATAGCATCTTTAATTCCGGAATTTACCCGCAACAATGGAAAATTGCCACCGTTATACCCGTCCTCAAACCTAACAAATCCCCCCATCTAATCGAAAATTACAGACCAATCTCCCTTCTCCCCTGTATGTCCAAAGTTTTAGAAAAAATTATATCAGTTCGTATCATGTGGTATGCAAAAGCTAGTGGCCTCATGGACCCCCATCAATTCGGTTTCCAAAAAGGTTTAGGGGTAATGGACCCTCTTCTTTATTTTGAACACTTTGTCTCTACAGCTATGTCAACTCGTAATCACATTTCCGTGTTAAGCTTAGACTTTGAAAAGGCCTTTGATAAAATAGGTGTGCATGTAGTACTCGACGAACTAAAGCGATGGAAAGTTGGTACCAAAATCTATAACATAGTAAAATCCTTTTTGAGNTGGTTGTAACGAATTCAATGTTATCCATATCCTTGACAACTGCCCTAACTCACAAGTAATTAGAAGTGGAATATTCAACAATTCTAAGCCATCTGATCATCTTAAACTCCCAAGTGACCGTAATATTAAACTAATTGCAAAATTTGTATCACTTTGTAAAATAAACATATAATTAAAAAAAAAAAAAAAATTACCACATACAATACATAATATTATTGCTATTTCCTTATCTTGCTACTTTTTAATTATTATTTCCTCATGTAGAATAAATATTATTGATACATCCATAACTTTATATTGTATAATTATCTTACCTTAGTTTAATGTTAGCCGAAGGCCCTGGCAGCCAGTGCTTTAGTTTGTAAGTGGAATAATTATTTATAATTGTTTCTCTTTTAAATAAATAAATAAAAAAATGTCAATATTTTATCGGTGGCGAAAAACAACTTCAGTTGGCGATTTATTGAGGAGTTTACTGCAACATCGGCTGGAAGCGATAGTGAACATCGTTAAAATAAATTTAATAGAATATGTAACCCTACCACAGGACTCGAACTATGGTTTTAAAAATTTGGTATGAAAGCTAACCGATCTGCTACAATATTATTCCACTTGAATTGCCGCAGACTCAGAATACATACTCAACCAAATTTTGCAGAGAATCCAATGCTTTTGCTTTGAGAGTTCTATGCTATGGCTTCTATTAAAACGTCATTGATTGCAGTTTGCAAATCACCATCTCCAGGCAACTTTCAATCACTGCAAATGTGCCAGCGGGAAAAGGGCTCCCTATGGATATGCTCTTTCAGTATGTTTCAGACTTGAGCACTTCTGAATCAAACCGCATTTTATAATGGAGCTTTCAAGCATTACCTTTGTGTGAGAGCTTCTCCGAGTTCTCATATTCACGAATTTGCTTCTCTGTTAAATTCTTCGTATATCTTCGAGTGAGAGGGATACAAACTGGCTTTGAGCTACAATTCGTGTTGCGTTCTGTTCTTTCCCATGTTGTCTATTGGTCTTTTCAACATGGCGATATGGCGACTGGTCGACTTTAAGTAATCCTATCTTGCATTCAGTAGAGCCAGAGGATTTGACTTTATACGCTACGCCCCACATATTTTACTTTTCTTCAAATTCTCTAATTGACTGGGTCTGACTAATCTGCTAAAAGCTTATTTGTATTTGAAATTGTCATAAAGCATCGAGTTATCTAATACCTTTGTAGCAGATTTCTTGGAAAATTGTTTTCTTATGCGTCAACCACAAAATAGAAAAATTGCTGCAAACCACAAAACATAGTGCGAGCACTCAAGAACACATGCAACATACTCATAAAGTGGCGCCACACGCCAAGCGCCACAAAATTCAGCAGTTCCATGTGGTTTGGAGAGATATGCAAATTGCGTTACATTGTTGCAAGCAACACTCGACAATGCAACAGATCAAACATTTCTGTTTATTACCCATGCAGAGCAAAAGCTGTTGTGGCTCGTGGAAGGAAGACTACAAAAACAAAATTAAAAGTTTGAAGACAGATCAAAATTATGCATAAGAAGATAGCTGTAGGAGTGCAGAATACATCCAAGTAAGAGCAACAAGGGTACGAGGTTACGCAATAACTAACAACATAACAAAAGAACAGTTGAAGCAACGCCATGCGAAGGAAGCAAGGAAATCAGAGCGCAACAACACAACGCTTGAATTTTCGCGGACGGGGATTACAACTTATCGAGTGAAAAAATAGCAAGCAAGATAAATAAAAAAAATGACAAGCAAAAAAGTAAGTAGCAAAAGTGGTTGCGCAGCATCAGCAACAAAAAACTATGATAAAAATAACGAATTGGCCAAAAATTGTTGGAGCGTGGATATATTTATAGAGGCAATGTGTAAAATGGACAAAACAATGTTAGCAATAAATCTGCGTGAGCTCGAAATGCAATACGAAGTACTACGAGCAAATTTATTCAAATATATATATACATATATAGGGAGATCCAAGTACAGTCACCTTTTCCCACAGCCTTTTTTTGACAGTTCGCACGAGAATTGCCTCAAGTTGTCTTGTTATTTTTTCTGTATTGTTTGGCATTTTGTCATGGAAAGACGTCATCTTCATTACGAAAGTTCAGTTCTGTAAAGAATGCTTTTCGGGCACTTCGCTCAACATATGGTCAACATAATCAGCCTACTGAGCGTACCATACGCAACATCATCATTCACTTTGAGATCCGGCATTTATTATTGGATAATATTCGAAGAAAATATGTATAGCGACCGTAGCAGAGCCATGACACGAAGACCGAGGAGAGTCGATTCGGCGCCGTTCGTAGCAACTCGGACTGTTGTATGGAACAACTTGGGCATTTTACATCGAGATCTTAACTTAAGCCGCTCGATCTTCTCAAGCGACATCGCTTCGCTTTATGAGCTCAAACAAAGTTCCAAGGAGATCCTACGTTTTCGAGCCAAAATTTATACAGCGATGGGCCCATTTGTGGTTTAATGGATATGTAAATAAGCAAAGTCACCGCATTTAAAATTAAAGAGCTGCCATTTAATCCTCACATAGAATATACACCTGCATTTAGCCCGGGGTCCATGCTAAAGCTGTAAGTGCAGATTACCAAAATATCCTCTCGAAACACACCTCCTCTAAGAGCATATAACAAAGTAGCCTTAAGAGAATGTAGTCTGATTAACTTCGCAGTATTATGAGCTAGCTAAACGTATTATTATATCTAAAATCTATCTTCCAGTTGAGGTATTCCAACAGCTTAGTTATAATTGCAGACTTCATGAATGTGGGTAGATGGTACTGAAGAGCAATTTATTAATATACATTGAGACCAAATATAAACGCGTTCTGTCAAAGAAGTGTGCGACCAGCAGTTGTTGAAATCATTCGACTTTAGTTGCCTCAGCGAATTTTCTTTTACGACCTCAATTGAGTAGAAACGGGTCCACGTAGTGCTAACTTGACACAACTATAGCTCACTACGATGGCGCATTATCGTCATGAAAGTTACCGGAAATTGTTGGCCAACAGTTTTGGGCCATTAACGTTGGCTTCTTTCCTTCAAACGTCTCAAAATGCTCAAATAATACTCTTTATTGAGCGTCTGTCCCGTTGGAGCGAATTCATAATGAACCAAACCGCGAATATCGGAAAAAAACAATTTCCGAAAACTTTCTGACATTAATGTACATGTAGAATTTATAGATATATGTTGTTTCTGAGCACCATATCCTAGTGTTTACGGAGTCTACGTATATATATATTTGTTCTGTAAGTTCTAAATGATGGCGCTATCATTAGTTGAAGTTGTCTAGAGGGTCTTGACTACCCAACTTAATGCGAAAGATTTGATATAAACGAAATAAATAGTGGACGAAAATTTATAAATTTTTATCATTCAGTCTCATCCAGGTAATGTCAGTGAAATTTGATCTAATAAGGTTGGTATGTAATAAATTGTCTCAACAGTCTTAAAAAGAAAAGAATGATTATCCATGCATCTTTCTCTAAATAGTCACACAAACACTGTAGCTCCCTAGTCAAAGTGGCTTTTTAGCTAAAATCTGGACCATACAATAGAAATTCGGAAATGGTTTTGTATGAATGTCATCTTGAGGAATTGGTTGTGATATCAATATTTACTTAATTTAGCTGACTTTTCGGTTGAACACAGCTTTTGCTAGCTATGATGACATCGGTTTCCATAATTTTATCAAAAAACGAAAGAGTTGAATACATTTTAAGTAATTTTACAAAAATAAAAAAAAATAGAATAAAAAAAAAATAGTTTTCCGCAATGTTTTCCGCTACATATCACTAATAAGGGATTTTTCGTTTGCTTCCCCTCCGCGCATCACTTTTGCGACTCATTGAGGCTCTACAAATTGGACAATACCATTTGCCCTTCGGTGGTTTCTTTACACCGACACATGAAAAATGAAACCATTCATACGGACACTTCTTGTTGTCGCAAGCAATCATTGAGCCATAAGAGATTTGATTACAAATACAATAACGCGGCTCATTTGGATTGTACGCCAAGAGCACTTCATCTTCCACATCGGAGGGCAAATCGGGCGGCGTGAGCAATGTAGAATCATAGAAACTTGAATTTGAGTATTGCGTTGCAACGGAGTTGGACATGATTAATGATCCTGACAACTCGCTTGGGCAATTGCAGGCAGCTGACGATGTACTGGGCGCATTTTCGTGTGCGGTATGTAGGGACTGCGACTGCGCCGTTACTTCCTCTTTCTTCTTTTTGTTGTTCTCCGTAATACATTTGTCCTTCGAGGTCTTTGCATTTGATGCCAACATGTTTAGGGCTTGAGGTATGTAATTTTTATAAAAATTGGAGTTTGAAAAATAAAGTTTCACAGAACATAAAAATTCAAGACAAAATAAATAGTCACACAAAAATTTGAATGAAAGCAATAAATTTGCCTTTGACTTTCTTCAACCAGAATGAGTACGAAAATGTGTATGAATGAAAGGTTAAAAAAAAATTATAGTAAAAGTTATGCAAAGGGTGAATAGTATTTTTTAAATATTTATAAATTCAAAATTACAGATTTAATAAGTTTCTTATCCATCGTCTCTCAAATCTATTTTTATTTGCAATGAAATTAATGTTTGTTGGTTTTTATTTAAAATGTTTTAAAAAGAAAATAATAATAAAAATAATAAAAAAAATCAAACAAATATTTGAGTCTTGGCCTACAAAACTAAGTTTTTAAAATAAATATTTGAATGATTTCATACACCATCTTCTACGCCGACTTCCGCTAAATCTGGCAAACCCTAACAAAGTTTTCTAAAATCTAAAACCATTCATCTGATGTGTAATCCATTTCACTCAGCATACGCCATCATCAACATCAACAACTCAATTTGATCTACGACCGCAGGAACATTCACAAAACTCATTCCAATCATTGATGGGCTGCAGGAGGAAGTGGAGAAGGAAGTGAAGGAAGAGCAAACTGCTACCAACGTGCATATGGTTAATTGTGACATTGTAACAGTGACCAATATAACCCATCTCCGCCACTCAGAGTTTCCACCATACCACCCATAGGCCAAACATTACGTTCACACCGGCGGTGGGAGAGGCATGTGCTTAATGACATTGCGATTGGGCAACGTGCAGTATGCGAAATGCTACTACTACTTAATGGAAGGCCTTACAGGCATGCATAATATGTGTATATGTTGGTTTGTATCTGTCTGTGAGAATATCTTATTATTCGCACTCTCATGGCTATTATTGGTGACGTTGATGACGTGGACGGCAATGGGCAATCGATAGCAGCCAAATTAGAAGACAAAATTCATTTGAGCATAAGCAGATCACTGTAATATTTTTTATTTAGTGTGATTCTTGTTGCACTTTAGGTATCTTTATGCGGTGTACACAAGAGTTGAGGATAGAAAAATTAAAAAAAAGAATTGTTTGAAAACTTGTGTATATATTCATATGCACACATCTCATACATATCTACCTCAAAGTCAAATTTTGCATACTTCCATTGTTGTGATTTCTTACTTTGTTCTTATGTGTAGCCATTAATTGCCGATTACCGACTACTGTAAACCATTTCCAGCTTACCTTTTGTGCGTATATTTTCTTACTACAGATTTCAAAGAGCCTTCACCAGTTGCATGCTGAGATGCTACATACATTATGGTGGCTGAAATATAATAGATATATTTTTTTCATTAGTAACGCGGCTCTCTTAAAATTAGCCTTGCTTTGTTTATTAAAACACTCATTAGCACTTTTGTTAATTATGTCTGCAAGTTTTATATTCAAAATTTTGAAATTCATTAGCTATTGGAGCGACAGTGCGTATACGTAACATAAACAATTTTATATATACCTCACATAGACGACTGCTTAGAAAAATAATTTTTTATTATATTTGTGCTAATATGATCCTGACACCTAACTGTTAACGAAATATGAGGAATTGCTTATAAGCAATAAAAATTTCTGCTGTCGATGCAAAATTTCATCAATCTGTTAAAGCAACTCTCATCTGTTGGTTTTAAAACTTCATCACTACCTTAGGAGAGGGCTCTACTAGTACTATTTTATGTCGTGTTCATCTGTGGCTATATTCATTTCAAAGGTACTGTCATTTCGCGTCGTTTTCAGTGGATTTCATTTGTTTTAGCGTGAACAACAATTTGCTTCATTTATTTGAAAATGTCGAAATTTGCATCAGATAAAGTGTTCTTGCGGGGAGTTATTCTTCATTACTTTAGCATGAAGAAAAGTGCTACCGAAAGCCATCGTATTTTACTGGACGTTTATACTGACCATGCCTTAGTCGAGCGAACGTGCCATAAGTGGTTTGCACGGTTTAAAAGTGGCAATTTGCCTTAGACGACGGACAGCCAAAAAAATTTCAAGACGAAGAATTGGAGATATTGATCGACTTAGATGTATGTCAGACGCAAGAAGAACTTGCAAAAGTATTAGGAGTTGATCAAGCAACCGTTTCCAGACGGCTAAAATCATTTTTTCGTAATAAAGTCTTAATTTTCGAAAAAAAAATCGCACAAATTATTGCATACACGCAATAAATTTTTCACTTGCACTTTTCAAAAATTAAGCTTTTCTTTATACTAAAAATTGTACACTACTGGGTTTTCTAAGTTCAGAATGTTTTTTCTTTTCGTCACAATAAACCGACTGCTAAATTATTTGCTGTGCTTGTGTTCTCAGAACAATAAGTAATAAGTGGTGAATCCCATTTTCTAACATTTATTGTTTTATGTTATTTTAATTGAGATTAAACACAGAAGTTGCTTATAAGTAACTCTGGAGTCGAAAGGGTTAGAAGAGAATACAATTTTTTTTAACAATAAGCATTCTCTTTTTTTAATATTTCGATCAGTGTGAGAGTACGATTCAAATTACAATAATGGGTATACGTAACCAAACTAATTTTAAATATATAATTTTAGTAGTTTTTTTATTTAAAGAAATGGGAAATTAAACCAAATTTTTAATTAATGTAATTATTTTAATTTTAACTTATTTTGCTGTTGATAAAGTAAAAATATATAACATTAAGCACTCGCTGTTATAGATAAATTAATACAAACATATGCACACATACATATCTAAATGATAGCAAAGCAGCCAAAATACAATAAATTAATTTCATATTGCATATACCGGTTAAGCAAGGGTTTGACCGGATATGTATGCATTTATTTGTATACATCAGCATGATGAACTCCCATTTGTACTTGAATGTTTGTCTAAAAGTGCTGCATACATACAGCTTCTGTGTTTTCCTGTATGTAGGCCTTAAAGCCGACATTGATTATTTCTTGTGTGGAAAATGATTTTGCAATTTGTCACCATGAAAGCATCAGTGATTTTACTTGCTTCATACCAAAGTAACAGTGCGCTAATAGTTAGGAATTAATACTACAAATATAATGTTGAGTGTTTTATAAAAAGCAGCGAATAAGCTGTAAGTCTATTCATTCGTTCATAAAATAAAATGAAGGAGCCCTACCGTAAAATCCTCTATTGTCTTTTGTATTTTAATATTTTTTATTTTATTTTTTTTTTAAATTATATTTTTTATAATATTACTTTGTTATGCATTATTTTATTATATTTGATTTTACTTGATTTTATTTGCTCTTTTTTATATTATTTTACTTTATTTTATTTTATTTTGTTTTATTTTATTTTATTTTATTTTATTTTATTTTATTTTATTTTATTTTATTTTATTTTATTTTATTTTATTTTATTTTATTTTATTTTATTTTATTTTATTTTATTTTATTTATTTTAAATTAATTTAATTTATTTTATTTTATTACATTATATCTTATTTAATTTTCTTAAATTTTATATATGCCTAACTTTTTCATTTTGTTTAACTGAAAGTTATTTAATTTTACGTTACTTAATTTTTTTTAATTAATTTAATTTATTTTATTTAAGTTTACTTTATTTTATTTTATTTTAATTTTTTTATGCTATTTGATTTAGTCTATCTACTTTATTATGTTCTATTCTATTTCTTTTATCTTCTCATTTAATTTTATTTCGGAAACCGAACCAGTGACCTTCCGTCTGATAGTACTCACTGCTAGCCCTTCGTCCTTACGAGGCGTATACTCGTTAGTATTAAAACTGTGGCAAACCAATATGGCGCTTAATCTAAAGTAGCACACATACCTTCTTGTATCTTTTTTTTAATTTTTTTGTTTGTCATAATGATTTTGGCACAAGTAGGGAGCATAAAATACAAACATTTGAATGTTAAATTGAATTTATATGCATTTTTATATTAATATATTTTCCAAAGCAATATCAATGTCCCGTGTTGAGCCTTGTTGCTGCATACTAATGCATATCATTTGTATATGGTTTAAACTCTGGCATTTTTTCTCAAATATAAATTTATCTTAAATTATGTGCGTATGAGTATGTGGAGGGCAGTTTTGAAAACAACTTTCACCCTTTTTTGCATCTTTCAATGCATTAATTTGCATATATGCGCTCATATTTCTAAATCCTCACGTAAGCCACCTAGCCAATGCGGGTGTAAGTATGTATGAAAGTATGCAAGCAGAAATTTTCGCATTTTATTTGACCTGCATTGTCGCTTGTGAAATGATATAAGTTTTATTTAAGGGTCGTACACTTGAAACAACGAGCACTATTGAAATCTTATACACATACATATCTAGACTTATGTACCTGAGTACTGGGAACACATTAACAAGTAGTTGTAATGCAAATATCAAATGAAATGAGAGAATTCGATTTGACGTGGAAATGAGGTTTGCGTTATAAACTTTGTATTCACAGATCTTTACCAACATATTTACTAATATGCACATGTATAGTTCCACAAAAGTTTCGGTCAAGGTTGTAAATCTGTGTTGAAAGCCCTCGTACAAAAAATTTCTACTAGATGTTAATGAGGGTATCAGAATCAATATATGTAACTATGTACTATGGGTAGGTTAGTCCGTACGTTGGTATTGGTTTTGAAATTAGTTAAGGCTAGCGCTTGGAAAATATTTTATATTTTATATTTTATATTTTATATTTTATATTTTATATTTTATATTTTATATTTTATATTTTATATTTAATATTTAATATTTTATATTTTATATTTTATATTTTATATTTTATATTTTATATTTTATATTTTAATTTTATATTTTATATTTTATATTTTATATTTTAATTTTATATTTTATATTTTATATTATATGTTTTATGTATTGTATTTATATTTTTTTATTTTTTTTTATTATTAATATTTTATATCTTACTTTTCATAATTATTACAAAAAAATTATTTTATTTAATGTTTCATGATTAAAAGACTATTTAACATTGTTTATTCAAGATCCGAATATAAGTTCTTATTTTGGAAATATTCTAATTAAAAATGTTTAAATTATGTTTT